TGTTGTTGTTGTTGCTGCTGCTGCTACTGCTGTTGTTGTTGATTTTCTGCTGCTGCTGTTGCTGCTGCTGCTGCTGCTGCTGCTGCTGCTGTTGCTGCTGCTGGTGGTGGTGGTGTTGATGACGACGCTGTTTTTGTTTTGTTGTTGTTGTAGCTGCTGCTGCTGCTACTACTGCTGTTGTTGCTGTTGTTGTTGTTGCTGCTGCTGCTGGTGGTGGTGTTGATGACGACGCTGTTTTCGTTTTGTTGTTGGACAGAATGCTGTCAGAATAAACGGGCTGAGGGAGTATCGACACGAGATTTATTGCTGATATTCGCTGACTAGCGACTATCACAGGTCATTCGTAACGGGGTCAAGACGTTAATACGGCTCTTCCTTGTCAGAAATCAGTCTTGAGTTGTTTCTGCTGGTTAAAGGCAATCGCATATATGTAGGTAGTATATAGGTAGTAGGCAGGTAGGTAGGTAGGTAGTTAGGTAGGTAGGTAGGTAGGTAGGTAGGTAGGTAGGTAGTTAGGTAGGTAGGTAGGTAGAAACAACAACAACAGCAGTAGCAGCAGTTTTTAATTCTATTAACTTTACGAAGTTTCTGTCAACGCTCTAAGAGAAAAAGTTAATGTTAAGGTTAATGTTAAGACTAATTTGTTTCTGACAATGGGCCCCTGGTTGTTTTTACTTGGTTCCGTTAGCTGTAAGACGGCGATGCAACAGTATGTAAAGTGTAAATGTGTTATTTTCAACTTAATATTAAAGTTAAGGGAGGGTCTAGGATCTCTTAAGTTAAGAGAAAAGTTACGAGAAACGAATTACAATTATAGTGATTTGTAAAGGTATTGTTTTGTTTTATTAGCGGTAGATAATTGTTAATGCTACGATAACACTTACGACTAATGCTAATGTTGCGAGACTAGCGTTGACAGAAACACATCGCAGCTATTAGAAAACTTACGATAACAGGAACTTCATCACAAGGCTGCTGATTGGATAAGAATCAATCACAAAATTCAAATTCATACACATTTATTGTACATCACAGTAATTTATGCATATTATGATGGCTAATCACATATAAATAATATTTGATGAAAAACGACGTGGTCATGAATTAATTCTGCACAACAAGACAAATTCTCACACTGTAACGCGAGACGCGAGAGTCGTGGCAAGCGTGGAAAACCTTTAGAACAAGAGAACAAATGCCATACGCCATTTGTTTAGCATTAACTTTACGATGTTTCTGACAACGGGCCCCTGGTTTTGCTGGAGCGGGTCACATATGATATTTAATACTAAAAATAAAATCAACATCGATTTAGAGCAAATAAATTAGCATAAATACTATAAAAAATGTCTTTGCATTTAAGAGATGCTTAAGAAAGCTTATCATGAGTAATATTCATGTTAGATATCTTCACATTACCACTCATTGTTGTCTTTCTGTTTCGGTAAATGCACCGAGTATTGTTTTCTTGTTTTTCTTTTTTACTTTTTCTATTCAAAAGATATTTAATTGGTGTGACAGAAACGGGGAACCATAAATCCTGTTTGGATTTCATTCCCCATTTGCTATATATATGTAAAGTGTGCAAATGCTGTAATAATTAAGAACAATTGTACAATATATATATGGCAATAAACAAACATTATATCTATTTTTGGATTACCAAAAGTCCTTCGACACG